ACTTGAAGGAAATCGTGATAGTGTAACTGATACGACACGCTGTAGGCACTTTGCTAACTTTAGCCATGCTAATCTGTGCAGTCGTAAAAGAAGTAATTTGTGTTTATATTCCATCTTGCTTTTTTCAATTTTCCACTAAAGATGAAGAAGACGCGATACAGTATTCTCAGGCTGTAAATTGATCGGGATTTAGGATGCTAATGTGTGCTCGTAAAAGAAGTAATTGCATTTCTCAATTTTGCGTTTAATCTTTTTTTTTTTCTGACGAGCTTTTGTAAAGTTTTGAATAAAGAATGACAAAGTTTCTTCTGTACGAGATCATGTGAAATACAAAAAAAAAAAAATTGATCAGGATTTAGAATAGAGGACTATAGCAAGTTTAGGATACAGGCGAAATCTCTGCTATTTCTGAAGATTTGAATGTTTCAGTTTTTTAACGTGTCGCTTAATTTACAATCGAGGGAAACGTGGAAGATTTAATTGATATTTCAAGCACTTGGTTTCTCGTGCTCAATTGTAATTGTCATATCGCGATTCTACTCTTTGGACCAAGATTAGAGAATCTTAAATTACACACTCCCAGAAGGCAGCAAATTCTTGACTTTCGTGTTATCTATACTCGTCTCCTTTATTTATTTAAATAAATACATAGAGCAGAGTGAGATAGCACCACGATCGACAATGTAAATATTTGTCAGAAACTGGTTGATACACCTATCTCTCCAACTATCGGTTATTCTGTAGTACCTACGTTAAGTAGATATAAAGCTGACAAGACACAGACTAAAAAATTTAACAGCTAGACAGCGATTCGTTTATGGAGACATTTTTCAATTTCTACGAAACCTACTAAATTTTTATTGAAAATTCACAGCATCACAAATTTATCATTACTATCTTTTCCTTTGATTAACCCTTTTCCATACGCAAAATCCTAACCGAAATTAATATTCTTACATTTCACCAAATTACCCTCACGCTTCTCGAAGTTAACGCCGCACAACGTCCATAATCGCGCGAAATGCACACTTTCGTCGAAACCGTGCCCTCGTAAAAACGTCCAGGAGAAACACGCTCGCATCTCACTGTTATAACGTACAAACGTCCCGGATCGTTCCCCTACTTCACGAAACACGGTCGATTATTTCAGTTGTCCCGGGCGTTATTCCAGCTGCGCCAATAAACGTAATTCAGCAGAGGCGGGCCGATGCGAACAGCGCGCGCAATTTTCGTTCACGTTCGATACCGAAAAAGATGCGGAAAAAATCGAGACGTGGTCGTATTAACGCGAAAGAGGACGAAAGTTGTGCACGGCGGCGAACGTTTATCTGCACCCTGGGACCCCATAAAACGAGAGGATTTCTCCGCGACCGGAGAGAGCGTTTTTGCTCGGTCGAGCGTCACCTCCTCCGCTATCAATTCTTCGGCAATTCCACCTGCTCGAACGTTAATGGATCCGCGTAATTCAAGCCATCACCAGGCCACGCTCGTTACACACACCGTGTGTCCCCCGATTATCGTGTCGCGTTAATTAAAAATGAGAGAGTTGATAATAAGATGATACTTCGGTTAGAGGCGCGAGGTTAAAGTCTGTCCGAGTTGCTCGATCGGTGGTTTGATTTATTTGCGGGAAAGAAACAACGTGTAAGATCCATGGACGTTGTTTAATTACCGTACGCCGTGTATGGCTTGTCGTGTAGTTATTATTTGTCGTATATCATTGGTGTATAATATTGTCCCCCTTGTGGCAATACCGCGAGTACAGGATTTCATAATTTATGGAAATTTGGGTGAATGTAAAATGTAAACAGATCATTCTGGGGATGGAAATTTTCTTGGAGATATTTGTCTTTACTTTCGAATGAAATTTAAGATTTCCTTTAGTCACGTTTAGTTATCTTTTTTACTCAAGAAGGGAACATTTGCATATATATATATATAATTGTTAGGGATTGGGTTTATGACATGGACGCCTGTTTACGCTATTTTTGAATGCGCCCCTTTTCTTCTTCGCGTTAATTAATTTTTCTTTCAAATTGGCCACGAAGCCCAGGAAGCGTTTTATGGCTGCAGAAAAATAACTTTTCTGCGGGACATATACCTTCCCGGTGCCCACTCGTGAGCATTCAATAGACATAGACGTGTCACAAAACCTCTCGCGTCTCCCTGACCGCCCAAAGTCCCGTTTCGCGCGGGCTACCCCTTGGGCCTCACTCCCTCGCCATCGCGACATACTACCACCCTGCCAACTTGGAAATTCCAGGGTGGGCGGCATGCTCGCGGGCCAGGGAGGACCGTCCAAGGGGGTAGACCCGTTCCCATTGGCGGAGACCACCACCTTATACCCCTAAACCTTTTTATAAATAAGCGCACCAACGCGGCGCACATCAGATCAAAAAGGGAAAATAGACAAACACCACGTAAACTACCACTCTTCAAAATAAAGGCTTTTTCTTTTAACATAATAAAATACCTGCAACCTCACCACACCACGAACCAGCGACAATCCTGCGCCACCACTCTCGAACATACCGCTTGTTCGAAGCGCACGACTTAACAATAATATAGCAATTTTATGCACTGTTAAATTTCTAATTTGTAATTTTTCTAAAATTCAATGGAAGCTGCAACGATGATTTTAGTACAAACGGAAAGATTCTACTTGAGAAAATGAAATTTTATCAAACGAGACTTTCTGCTCGAGAACGATAACTTTAAATATTTGCCAAGTACACGCGTACTCGATTAATTCTACAGATTTCACAATAGATTTCGCGATATACAGAGTTCGTTCCAATAACGAGATCAAATCGTAGATCCTTATTATTTCCTGGACAATGTCACATCAGTGATACACTTGAAATCATTGCATAACACATTACCTAAACTATCGAAAGATATTTCTCGAGATATTGAATAATACATTCAACGTTAATCTTCTCGAGACCCAAAGCACCGTATGAAAACAGTTCATTCGTTATTTTCGATTTAAAAAAGTTTTCCCACTTGTATTTAAATCATATCTTATACAGTTCAACGATATCGAATTATTCCTAATTTAGAAGATATTTTCTCTCGGAAAAAATAGCATACATTACTTCTTGTTTCTGCTACATCGTTAAACTAATGACGTAAACGTTCTTGCGTTCCTCATAAAGTTCCATGAACTTTGTCCAACATAAAACTTTTACAATTTCATAGCATTTCTAAACGTGCTCGAACGAAAATTTTGCCTTCCGTGCAAACTACGCGCGATCTCACGAGAGACGCTGTTACAAGGTAGCGAGGATTTACCGAAAAGTATCGCCGCCGATGGCCAAACAGCCACGAAATGGGATACCCGTGTACTGGCTACTCGTGAAGATAAAAGAAACACCGGTCGACCGGGTAATGTAACACACACGGTTTCCCTGAATTCACGAGAATCCAAGTGGGAGCAGTTACGGGCTAATTACACTCGTAAAGATTAATTAGATTAACGCTAATCTATCGACCCGCACCTCCCGTTCGACGGCCTTATCAGCCGAGGCTGCGCGTTCGTCACCGCTAAAAAGAGAACCAAGAATCTTTCATAAGCACATCTTAAATACGTTCTTAAGTGGTTCCTACGCGATTGCAAGCGCATAACCGATAACGAAACTGTTATAACGGAAATGAAGTGTGACCGTTGCGAAAAAATCATGGCGAAATCGAAAGGCAACGATGTGAATTGAAAGATTTGAAAAAGCTTGGAAACGCGCGTGTAGTATCTTTGTACGTAGCGTTTCAGTTACACTTCGAAGAATACTTTGTAGTAGCTGAAAATGAAAAAAAATTCATCATTGGTCTGTGTATTGCGTCACAGCGTCCACGTTTGGATTTTGCGACAGTAGGACGACGAAGGACTTGGAACTTGGAACGAACCGAGTGAAGCCTTGCAAAGTTGCGAGTGAATAGTGGCCTGTATAAGGATGTGACAATCTGTGTCACACGTCGTGGTCAACAAGATTGTTTAATTCACTTATGAATATTCAACGAAGTATAAATTACGAAATTAAGTGTCTTTTGTGTGCACGTGTAGCAACGAATAATGTGAAAAAGTCTCTGAAAATGTGTTATCAATGTTACCGATGTTCCGTGGCTTCTGATTGGGTGTTCGACGTGCGAGAGGTGGTTGAAACGTCTTTCGATTGGTGTTTCTGTGTTCTGCGTATGTCTGTTGCAGAGTCAAGCTGGTCCTTCTCTATTCGCCCTTGGACCAATAACATAATTTCAGTCTTTTCGGTGAAATATTTATTTTCTTACGAACGAACAGGTACTTTGTTGCATCCGAAAATTGAAAATCGAAACGTGTGGATTATTTGAAAAGTTCAAGCTTTCACTCTCGTAATTTCGATAATAGGGTTACTTAGATAACGACTGTGAATTTTGACAGATAATTTCTGTAAAAAAATTCACTAACTCTGAATCTAAAATAAATAAGCAAACAAATAGATAAATATATAATAAACAATTACAATTAGAGTTCGTTATATTATTACAAGGCCCATGGAACAATTGACGGCAGTGTGTCGTCAGCGGCCACTAACCTCTAAAATTTACACGAGGCCACAGTCGTCACAGTGTTAATGTCTAAATTAGATCAGCCTGTGATAAATCGGTGAGCTTGATACAACAATTACTTCACTCCGAAAGATTACCACCACATTCTCCACCAACGTAAAATCCAGATAGTTCCACAATAAAAATCTCCAATAACCGATTAATTCGTTCTTTTCCAGTAAAATCTTCCCGACGTAAAATTCCAATGTTTACATGCTCCCGAAGAAAATCGAGAATACGCATAATTTAATAACACCGATAGCAGATTCACGAGACAAGAACAGAGTCGCGGTACGTCTCTTCGTACTAACCGGCTTTTAGATATCATATCTCGTGACGTATGCTTTTGATAGCTAGTGGCAGAACGTCGAGTGAACGTATGGTCTTACCCGCGTCGAATGTGCAATCTCTATGCAGAGCGCGGTAGTGCGTTGACAAGTTGGCAAGAGCGTGGTTCACAATGACCGAGCCTGTAGTGACCGTAACGCAAGGCAAATTACGAGGTGCAGTGTTAGAAAGTTCCCTAGGATCGTCCTATATCGCATTTAAAGGAATTCCTTTCGCTGCTTCTCCCGTTGGCGATCTGAGATTTAAGGTAAACACAGTTTCTCGCATTTTCTGATAGCCGAAAACTCCCGATTTAAGGCTAACAGTGCCGGCACTTCGTAGCCGGTCGAATACGACCGGTTGTGAAATAACGATCATATTTTGTGGAAAAGAATACAGGTGAGATTGTGAATTTAATAAGGGAAACAGCGGAGGAAATAGTGGCAGCAAATTACGTGGGAAATTTAGAAACCGGTGATTTGACAGGGCGTGGTACGTCTAATGTTAACTTAACCACTTCTTTCTAATTCCTTCTATTCGTTACATCCATTAACGTCGATTATTTGCCGCTTTTTTAAAACTACATACGTCTCACTGGCAATTTTACGTAACTCCATACATTGTTACGTGTCTCGCGAAGGACAGGTTAAAGGTGACCTACTTTGAATTCGAACGATAAAAATCACTAGTAAAAAATTAATACGTAACGTAATGGCAAGCTTCCTTTCTTTTTTATTAACACAAAATAGAAGATTTTGCGATACATTTAGATTATCGTATTCTCAGTCACGTTTAGCCACAGAAACGAATGAAATTTGACAAATAATTTGAAGTCCAGTGACCTTTTTTCTGCCTCTTGAAAAATTTGACTTTTCACACTTACAGTGTTTTTGTACATGTATAGATCTTCACTGTGCTGTTCCTTTTATGAGAATAGGATCCGCAACCACCTGAACCATGGACAGGGATCAAGGACACGACAAAAATCGAAGGATACATTTGCCCGCAGTTGCGAGAAACTCCGCCGATCGTTGTGATGGGCGTCGAGGATTGTCTCTATCTGAACGTCTACACGAAATCCCTTAACCAATCGAAACCGGTGATGTTCTGGATCCACGGAGGCGCGTATCTAGTAGGAAATTCGAGTTTCGCAACGTACAGGCCTGACTATTTACTCGAGCAGGACGTCGTGGTCGTGACGACTAATTACAGGCTTGGCGCATTGGGTTGGTTACGTTATTATTAGCATACCTTGAGGGAAGAATGTTTCGAGAAAAAAAAAAAAAAAAAAAAAAAAAAGAAGTATTTCAACGGTGAATATAATCGCTTGGATTTCTGTAACTTTGAAGGATTCTTGAATCTGGGCCATCGAGCTGCGCCCGGAAACCAAGGTCTGAAAGACCTAATTGCATCTCTGAAGTGGGTCAAAGAACACATCGCGATTTTCGGCGGAGATCCTGATAACGTTACGCTATTCGGTGTCAGTGCTGGTGCAGCATTAATTCACACGTTACTTTTCACGCCAAGCGCCAAAGGTAATAAAACAGGTCTTTGCCAATGACCTTCCTGATAAGATTCGTTCACGTTGATGGTAATTTGCCGAAACGCGTGGACGTTTCGTGGAAAAGACCGGACGAAAGTTTCGACTGTGTAAAATTTTTCCTAATTGGTCGCTACATATTCTCAGGACTGTTCCACAAGGCGATCTTGCAGAGTGGAGTGTTAACGTCTCCGTGGAGTTACAATCAAAGTCGTCCCGATCGTTGTTTCAAGCTAGCCTCGCTCCTAGGAAAGAACTCGACCGATCCTGAGGAAGTTGTGAAATTTCTGAGAACGTTACCGGTTAAGAATATCATCGAGTGTCAGGGTTTCATTCTACCGCCTGAAGCAAGTAGCTTTCCTCTGATCTGTTTCCTAATTCACGGTGAAATGTTCCAAGCAGGAAGGGAGATAAAAATGTTCGGTTCTTTTTATCACGTAGGAAGCGGTAACGTATGAACTCCCTTTCGGGGTCAACAGCGACGCAGTGGCGGAAAATCCTGTCTTGCCAGAACCAATCGACGAATATCTCGAGAAAGGTTTCGACGTTCCTGTGATAATTGGTTACACGGCAGACGAATTTATTATGTTCGTCAAAGGTGAATTTTAACGTTGACACAAATCATTTTTCAAGTACACGGAATGCAATATGTATAACGTGTACGTACTCTGTCGTTCCGAAGTTTTATCGCATCCGTTGAAACGCGGTAAAAGTATCCTGATATGCGGTGAAATTAAAGATAACTATAGGAGAGAACATGAATTTGACGGGAATGATAAGCTTTTCGCTCTGTTGACGTGTTGGATATAAAAAAAAGGCTTTGAATTTGACAAACGGAATTGGAATTGAATTACATTGCATTTTTGTAAAGGCGCGCTTAACCCTTTCACTGCTGTTAAACATTTTCTCGCGCTGTGTATTTTCGCACACTTTCGAAAAATTTTTCGAAAATTTAAAAACGCCGAAATAAAATATTCTGCGGCCGCGAAAATCTGCCGTTGCGAAAGGGTTGAACTTACGAACGACAGTGTATGCGGAGCGAATTAATCTTTCTTCTTCAGATAACCGCGAAAGGGCACTGAATATATACAATCAGTTCCTGCCACGGAACGTGAGAAATATGGGAGCGATGAAAAAGTTAGAAGAAGCCAAGAGCGAGAGATTGATCACCAAGGTGAAAAATTGGTATCTAAATGGAAAAGCGGTCTGCCTAGAAAACATAGCTGGCTACATACGTTTCACGACTGACCTGCATTTCGGTGTTCCTGCAAACTTGGTGTTGGAAAAAGCAGTGAAAGTATCGTCTGCGCCTATTTATTTCTATAGATATAGCTATGTCGGCAGCGAAAAGGCACCCACGGATCTTATAATTAAACGTTTGATCGCCGGTGATTACAATTCTTTTCATTCGTTATCGTGCACGAATTATGCAAACATTGAACACGATACTAATTTCAATGTTCCAGGAGCGTCTCACGTGGATGAAGTAGCTTATCTCTTCTATTTACCACTTTGTAAGACCGAAAATACACAGCCACCGGCGGTTGGAACGAAAGACAGAGCTACTATTAACCGAATGACTAAATTGTGGTCGAATTTCGCTAAAACTGGGTATACCTTTCAACCTGATTTTCTAATATTCAACGTTTCGTTTCAACGTTTACACATGTCTTCTATGTTTCTCAACGTAGGGATCCTACATCGAGTAAAGACGAATTTGTGAATGTTACATGGGAACCGACAACGGTAGATAAGCTTTGTTACTTAGAAATTGGCGAGGAGTTACAATTTTTGCCACTTCCACCGCACATACTGAGTTCTACAGAATTTTGATCGTTCCACCATTTCATAACATTAACTTCTACAGAACAAATATGCCGTAGAAGCAAATGTTTTTATTAAGTTTGCGTTGCTTTATTTACGATAAGTAGGATATGCAGTTATTCTTAATGCTTGCAAGACTAACAAGGGTAATGGAAATAATAAATAACTTAGGTTTAGCTACGCTTGCGAAATGTCTGTTAGCCATACGTATGTTAATTAATCACAGGAACACATTTTTATCTACGTGTAAAAATGTAGTTTCCGTCATTCTTGATTAAATTCTTTTTACAAGATTCCCGAGTGTAATTTTGATTACAAGATAAAAATACAAGAGAAATTAACAATGGCAATGAGATCAAATATAATTACGCCCGGACTATGTTATCCTAGATACTCGGTCCGAACTATGTGCAACCGATACCAAATGTTGTTAATTAAATACTCTGTTTTTAAGATTAATCTTGTTTACGTTAAAAGTACAACTGATCGCTATTGCGTTGATAAATATACAATTTGTCTCGTTTCTTTATCGTTATTCACTAATTCGTACATGCAGTCGCATTAAATTTCACAATTCTCTCAAAAAATATTTATAAAAACCGCAAAAAATCTCCGCTTCCAGTTACTTTCTCGGCTTTACCTTTTTTATCGTTATTCGTGAATTGGTATATGCCGCCACGTTAAGTTTCAAAAGGACCATTGAAATAACAGAATGATTTGAAATTCTTTCAAAAAATACTGATTACACTTCGCAGAATGGAATTTTCTATCCGAAACAATACTCAATGTATTATACTTCGACTTTCATGAATTTATATCTAACTTTTCATTTATTTCCAGTTTTTTCTTTTTTCCAATCTTCCAACTGATCCTCCAGAAAGTGTAATTTTTCAAAATTAATTCCTTTCACTATCTATATCACGCTATCTTTTCCATTCTATGCCAAAAATGTAAGTTACAGCATTATAAATATACGAGAAATTTATTTCTACTCGCCTAGCAAATAATTAGAAAAAAGTTGAGAAAAATATTCATCTTTCTCAACATGTTCGATACAAAAAAAAATTCCTTTTATTTCAATTCACCTACGAAATGAAACATTCCTACCCTCACCTACTCGATCTTATTCTTTCCACAAGGATAAACGAGTCGTTGAAAGCACTTCTCCCGTATTTCCATCTGTCTCTCGTCACCTCTCCAAATATCATCAGCTTTAAAGCAAAAACTGCTAACCAGCGATGATTCCTTTCTCTGTGTCTGCCGGCGAGCAAATGACGCGATCGCTACGCAACAAACCACTATGATTCACCGTCGGTGTTTGCCGCGGGGCTGGTTCGAACACTTTCTCCTCGGTTCGCGCGCGATATCAATTAAAGACCGCGACGGACGGAACGGTTAAACGAGTCCGGCGAAGCGACAACCGCAGCTCGCAGCTGATTACAAGCCGCGGTGAGATAGCTAATGATAGCCAAGCTAATACGCCTAATGCAACGTAACGCGCGGAATTACAGGCTGCGCGAACCTGGTCGCGTATAGGTGTCGTGTGTAATACAGTTGCACCGCCCGAAGGGAAGAAACGTACCTACGCGAGACCGAGGAGAAAAAAACACGAGGGGCAGGGAAACTTCCGAGATGGGGAAAAAGGGAGACGAAGAGATGGTCGCCGGAGGAACGACCAAATGACTCGGTAGAATCCGCTCGTCCCTCTTCCTTCTCCCCCGCGCGCCTGGAATGTACCGATCCAATCTGCTCGCGGCCAAGAATCACCCTGTGTTCATTCGTGTCTGGTAGCTGGGTGATAATAATTCAGAGCTGGGTCTGGCCACGGTAAATACAGTCATTACGCCGCGCATATAGATGACACGCCATTGGATTCTTGTGTAAATTCGTCGCGTAATCGATGCAGCTTCCGATTGGTACACGGGGCGAACAGTCTCTGGACGTGAGGGATAATTGTAAGAGGCCGGGCAGTTTACGAGCTTGTCAACACGTTCGGCCGCGGTGTAATTCTGCACGTCGGAAACTGCGAGAGATCGATGTCGCGAAGAAACCACGAGTTTCAGAGATGTTATCGGGATTATTGTTGAAGAAGATAGGTGAACTGGGCAAATAAGTAGGAGGATCGAGTAATTTGCGGGGAAATCTTTGGGGCGAAAGTTTATCCTTTTTGTTTGTAGAAAGTTCCGAGGAATGATACATGTTTCGCTTCTTTCTTTTTTCACGGCTGTCGAGAGATAAACAAGTACACGTGTATTTGTTGTATGCTGATTTTATCAGCACTTTGTGGTTTATTACAGATAGTAGAAGTAAACTTGTTGAATTTAAATGCTTGTCAGATTCAGTTTATGCAGTGGACTCCCTAAATTTTTCACAGAAGAGTACAGACACAAGTCCCAAAATACGGATATTCCAATGGACAATTTTAATTATTCTGGCAGTTATACAGCATAACAGACAGTTAATACCTCCAATCATTCACAGAAAGATAAAAAAGCAAAAATCCCCTTCATCCCAAAGGATATACGTATCAACGTATTCGTACGTCTTCAATGATATACGACTTAACAGAGAACGAACGACACTCTAAATTTTTCAAAAAAGAATTCAGACATAAATTTCCTTTCGCACCAAAAGACAGTTCAACAGCAAGTAAGCAGAATGATGAACAGAATCACAGATACACAAACACAACGAAAATTTCCCAAAAGGAAACAAGAACGACTGGATAAAAATTCGAGCAAGATGACAAAGTTACGCAATCGTAGCCTCGATAAACATCGCGGATTAAACAATTGGTTACGCGATAACGGCTCGGCGCGATGATAAGAGAGAGAGAGAGAGAGAGAGAGGGAGAGGGAGAGCCACGCGAATGCGACGAGGCGGATAGTGTCGGTCACGAGGCATAATAAACACCCAGTCGCAGATTTCCAGAACGTTGATTACACGCATCGAACGGAGGCCAAAACGTCGGCCCTGTTCGCTTTATTACGACGATATCGACGGCGTGAAATTATTCCGCGTCAATTAGCGTGATTTAGAAGGCAGCCACGCGGACGATAGACGACGCGAGCCGATACGAAATTTACGACAGGTGTCGGCGAGAATGATAGCCTTGATACAGCATTTGCATTTCCACCGATACGCAGTATTTGCATAAAGCTGCCGGCAAACAGAGCCCAGCTTAATCCACGATTATCAGCTCGCGACATTTTTATTTAATTATTGCGCGCAGAGGCTGTGTACTTGTATCCATAAAATATCGAGGAATGAAGAATTACGTGGGTTATTTGAAAAAGTTCGCGGAATCGAGTGGAGGGACACTTTAGATTTTTATTCGACCGTGCACTTGCACGTTTCAAAGCTACTATACCGTCGCGAAACTAGTTTTTCGATTAATTCTTTTCTTTGGTATTTTAATAATAGAGGTTGCAGTTAGGTAGATTTCAGGAGCAGTGAGTTAAACGAGCTTGTAATTGGTTTCGTGTGTTAAAATATATCGTGCAAGAGATACTCGATTATTATGCAGAAGGTAGAATAAACGGAACAATCGCTAAACAAAAAAAAAAGAAAACAATCTCTAATTTTAAAATAATTTTTAATTAAAAAATTCATCATTTCTGGACTAGACACGATTCTGTTTATTAGTGTGGTTCATGACGACGATGAAGCTGTCTTCGGTACCAAAGGAAATCTATGTTTAAATTTTTCTTTTAATATGGGCGACACTAGGTTACTTCTGATACACTGATCAAGGTGGGATCTCTTTGGTTAAGCCTTTTGCTCGTTCGTATATACATACCGGCCAAAAGTTTGGAATCACCTCCCACTTTTCATCAATATTAAATCTGCTGCTTTCAAGTTTATCTCAATTCTACTTTTATCAATTGATTCGAATGATAAATTCTCAAACTCGCTGACTTTTTTCTGGAAATTTTTGTGTAAATTGCAATGCTCAGTGATTCCAAACTTTTGGCGGGTAGTGTATAAGTGTATTTCACATAGGAATGTTTTTCAGTGAAAAGTGCCGACGGTTGCCAAAGAGTCGATTTACAATCGTGAATTATTCTTCGAATCATTGTAAAACAGTTGTATAATCGTCGGTCACTAGGCTGGAGCCTCGTTTATTTTTGGTCCCATCTTTCACTCGCGATACCAAGGTCTTCAATCAAAACTCCATCCCAGGATCTATCGTAATTCATCGCGAGAGAAAGCGACGGATTCCGAGAGGTGCATGACAAATCATAAGAATCTCTCCGGGTTAAGTATCTCGCGAGCCCCATATACGTTCAAGATTTTGTTTCAGCATCCCACAGTCGTAAATACACAGCGCGATCGGGGGGAGGGAAAAAGAAGCTCGCTTGATATTCTCGATCGATTGCTTTCCTTTTAAATTTCAATCCCTCTCTGTCGTCGGCTATAAATTGTCCCATAAACTCCCGTCGACGATAAATTACGCTAGTTTTTAACCCCGGCGCGTCGAATCGAGTTCTTTGGTGCGGTTTTAGTAATCGTCCAAAATGAACGTGCAAGTTTCGCTCGCGTCTGCCTCGGTGAATTTTCATGATCGACGACGACTTTCGACCTGTTTCAAATACGAAAAAAGGGTGAAATACGGTCCGGTTGACTCGCGTGTGCGCCGCCCATTCGAACGCAACTTCCGCTTTGCACGATGATCGCCGATCGTGGCATCTGATCGCGACGCGTGATCCGAATGGTAATGAAAAACGTACGTTCGGTCGCGCGCCTCGATCACTTCCATACTTTTACCACAGCCGACAGCGAGCAAAACGTACAACGCAGGCCTTGTGCCAATTGCAATCGGCACCGTGTGCCGCACGATCCCCTTTTACGATACGCCGGCGTGAAAACGTAACGAAAATAACTGGGTCTCTGTCGCGTTTAGATCGCCGTAAGTGGATAAGTAGATTTGGTCGTGTATAGTCAGACACGCGCGGAAAAATCAAAAACTGTATTTTGGTTTAATAGACGTAATATTTAGTCTGTTTAAATTGTACATTTGAGAAGTTTCAAGTGTTTAACGAGGCTTTTCTAACTGTTTCATGCAAATTAACGGTGGTGGATGGTTAATATAATTTTTATATACATATTTATTTATATGTCGTTATTTTATTAGAGAAATAGCGTTGAGCTACTAAATTTTGTAAATTTGTAAAATGTTCGTATTATAGGATATTTTTATTAGGGAAAATGCAGATCGCGTTCATAGTGTTCGTGAATGAGTAAACGCGTTGGCTGACCTACACGAGGCACTGCTACTTGCGGTCGCTTCACTTCAGAAGTGGAGTTTCGTGTTCCGTTGACTACGAAAACGAGAAAGCCACGTTTTATGCGATAATTTACGATCCATTCGTGCCAGCCTAATTTCCTTATCTCAGACATGATCATACACGACGAAATCCTCTATCGAACAATGTATTTTGCCGCGATATTTACCTAGCGTTTCATAGATAATTCGAAGATTCCACAATAACTTCTCGGTACAACTTAAAATTCATTCATCCTCGCCAATTGCATATACAATATCAGAATTTTATCACCAACTCGTATATGAAGTAAAAAAATCCCACTGCTAAATTACCTCCATATAGAACCTCGACTCTTACTTCGTCCATAATTTTCGAGTCGATCAATTACCCTTTCTTCCGGATACTCCTCAAAAGTCCCATAAAC